ATTTTTTTATAGTTACTAAATTATAGAATATTACAATATATTTCAAATAAATAGTTCACCACCCTAAACAATTTACTATAAATTCAGTGCCGGTTGTTAACTCGCGGTGAGACCTCGTAATTATTTAAATACAATATATTAAATTCATAAATTATTTATTTAAAATAAATACTCGATGAATACTTTTCAGTTAGTACAAAATAATTTATATTTGATAATTAATTTACACTCATAATATATTAACATAACTTGTGATTATATAAAAATTTAAATCAATATTRATATCGGAAATATAGATACAATATTGATTATTAAAATTATATCGTTGGCCAACACTAATATATATACATATAATCTTTATATTTTTAATTATTGTRATTAAAAATGTATGTGGCCTGCAAATAATTTTCAAAAATTACTTTTGGCCCTTTCTAAATTCCTAGTGAGGACCGCTGAACTACAGTAAATACAGAGAAAGTGTGTATTACATTCTCATCCCTATTAATATTATGTACTGTTTACATTCTTATCGTTTCAGATTTGTAACAGTGACAGTTATGAGATTGTTAACAGCTCAGTTATGAAACAAATTTATGATTCTGTTAACATAATGCAAAATCAAAGAGCTGTTAGATATAGACCACCATCTATTGATGAAGATTATGAAGAAAATTATTTTTATGAAGATGAAGATGACTCGGAAGATGAAGGAACAAATGTTCCAATTAATGCAAAATGTTTGACCAATAATTCATCTAAGCCCAATGATCTTCATAGTAAACTTATTAGTGGATATACTAATGGGGATTCAATGATTGATGTAAATATTAAATAAGTCATTACATAGCTATTTAACTAAATGCAGTATTTGTAATAGTTTTTAATTATGACATTTCAGGTAAAACCACTATCGGCCGATATGTTTAAAGATCAAAGTCGATTATTTTACATTTGTAACAGTTGTGGTTCAGTTAGGTGGGATAACTTACAATGGGAAAGTGCACTTGGTAGTAGCTTAGGGATGAAGTTTAAATGAATTATAACATTATAAAACATGTGTAAAAAATAATCATTTTCCGTATAGTTTGGTATTTTAAAAATAACTAAAAAGTTCAACTTAATTATAATTATCCTTTTAATTTTTAGTGTTCCATAGGCTATGGGCTTACTATCTCATATAATTCTGTTTTACCTGCATAAGAATTAAGTTTTGTCTATAAGAGGAGTTGGCACACTATTTGTTTTCTCTCTCTGGCACACGCTCAACATGGACAAAACTCATTTACGCATGATTGTTTATTCATTGTTTTTAAGTAATCTTAGAGTAAAATCACCCATTACAAAAAAGATAGAGAACAATGTTTTTGAGGGAATGATATATCAATAACATAATTTACTGTTATTTGATTTTGTACTCAACTTTCTAAATTAACAATAACATTTTATTAATTTAAATTATGTTTAAATTGTTTCGAAACAATATTTAGACAACTCAATATGTCATTCCCTCAAAAATATTTTCTTTTCTCTTTTATAATGGATAATTTTACTCTAAGATTACTTAAAAACGATGCTGTGTAAATGTGTKTTGTCCATGTTGAGCGTGAGCCAGAGAGAGAAAACAATTGGTGTGCTGACACAGACATAATTAATCATTTAACACATTTTTTTTATTCTTATTCAAAATAAGAACATATTTGCGCTGAAACCAGTGTTTTCGGCGGTAGTCAGGCAATGCACGTCCGTTAACCCTGCCAAGTACCATCCATATATCTGCTGTGTAGTGAAAGCTACAATCAACAATCAAATTAGATCTTATTTTAATCAGAGTATAGTTTTCCTAATTTTTCTTTTATAATCAAATTTAAAAATTAACTGTGATCCTTTTTGTATAATTTATGACTTTTTATAAATATATTAATTTATGTTGAGCCTTTTTATGTGATTTTGTAGTTTTAAAATGTGTAAACTTATATATATTATGTAACATAATTAATAAATTATCGTACATTGTCAGTGTTTATATTTGCCATTTATATTTATTTTTTCCATGTGATAAAAAATGTTGAACTAATTATTGGATATTGTAAAATAAAATACTATAAAAATACTTCCGTTAAAAATATATGTATTCAGTATATCAGATAAAATAGATATTTTCAAATAAATTGTTATTAACTCATACATATGTATAGACCASAGGACCACATGGAATTTTTTTATTCTGATGATGAAGAAATAAACAAATTATGATAATGGTATTTACTATTTTTACTTTTTTAGTCATAAAAAAATTGTATAGTATAAAAAATTAAAGAGTTATATTAATGAAAAACAGAAGAGAAACGTGAGCGCCTTCATTTTAATAAGCAAAACAATTTTTTTTCTAAATATATTTATTAAGAGTAGGCAACTGCACTAGTGCAGTCTCTATCTCCTGATTAGTAAACCCGAACAATTACTCACAATAATAAGTTTATGGACATAGGTTTTTTACCTCAGTTTTTAAGTGCAAAGTTTTGTTCACCAGTTTACCATAATTTTGATATTAAGGTCGGTTGATCTAATATTAAACTTTTAGGTAAGAAAATTATGTGTTTTATCGGTCGGTGTTTTAGGATATTTTAATTTTTAATTGAATTATGAGCATTTTCGTATATTAATAAGTAGTTATAACTCACTTGAAAATAAAAATTATGTTCTTACCTAAAAGTTTGATAGTAGGTAAATCCACTCTAATATTAAAACTAAGAGCATACTATAGAAACTGGTAAACAACAATTTTTTCGTATGTGTTTAATATGGAGAGAACACATTCAGCTAACAACATCCTCTTCATAACTACATGGGTATACATTTGAAATCCAAAATTAAGCAATGTACCTTTTCGGATTTTTATTTAATCTTGTAATAAATAATGGAATAAAAGATATAATCATAGATTACGTAATTTTAAATTATAATTTACAGATAAAAAACAATATTATTTTATTATTATTTATTTGATAAATGAGGAGCCATGCAATTTGTTGTATAACGCAAAAGTTGTAAATTTGTCATTAGTGTGGTTAGTCGTCTATAGTGTCGTTCACTGTACGCCATTAATCCTTGTAATTTTTCTTGATTAATAGTTAATTTTCCAATCATGATGTCTTCTAGCAGAATATTTAAAACAAGCTAAAATACATTTTTAATTATAGATAAAAGTTAAACTGTGGACAAATAAAAATTGTTGATAAATACTTGTGCTGCAAGACAATATTTTCCATTGCTATTCCAATCAACAACATAATTCAAAAGTCTTTCTTTCTGTTCTTGATTAATATTTTKAAATACTATTTTTAAATCTTGCCCTTGGCCTTGTTTAGATAAAGCTATAAACATAGGAAAGTTCAATTTCATTAATAAAACAAATGTTAACCATTAGATGTACACAAACTTTGTATTATCTTAAGTGCTGTGTTTGGCCTTTCTAAAGTGATGGACATTTTAAGTGCTGGTAACAATTGTTCATTTTGTAACAAGTTTTGTAGTTGTTGATCTTGTAATGCTTTAGTTTGGTTAGCAGCTGCTTCAGAAATTCTCACTTCTTCAGTACGATCATGCCAAACGACTAATCTTGAATCAGTACCTCCAGTCACCATAATCGAACCATCATCCACAACTTGAAAATTAATTATTAAATACTAACTAGTAAAACCAATCATGAAATTAATAAAATGTATTTTACTCACTTGATAAGGCCCACACTTTAGATGAATGTTTGTCAAGTGTAGAAATACATTCACTAGTTTTTAGACACCAAATTTTAACTAGCCCATCACCTCCACAACTAGCTACTTGGGTACCATGATTTAAAAAGCTTCCTTTTAATACTGATGAATCATGACTCTCCAGTGTCTAAGTATAAATTTATAAATTATTAAAATATAACAAATATGAATTCATTAATATTTTTTCTCTTTACTTTAAGACAAGAATAATCAGCCATAGACCATATTTTTAAAGTAGTATCTGCTGAGGATGATAACAGTACTTGATCTATAGGAGAAAAACGTACACACCATACACCTCGCTTGTGGCCTCTGCATATTCCAAGAACTGACAAATCATTTGCAGACCATATCTATTCACAAAACAATATAAACATAATGCTATTTAGAGTATTTTGTAATAGTTAAATATAAAGTAATTGGCTTAATTACTTTAATTAATTTGTCCTGTGAGCCAGTAGCAATTGTCTGATAGTTAGGTGCTATGCAAATACTATTTATATCTTTTTCATGTCCAACTTCAGTTAATTTGACATTCAATATATGTTGTTCATCTTTTAAAAAAAAATTATTAGAGCATTAATGAAATATTTTTAACAAAATAATTATTGGTTTTTTCTTTTGTTTTTACCATTTTTGAATGTTTTTGGGAGTTTCCAAAGTTTTAATGTAGTATCTGAACTAGCAGAGACAATAAACTCTAAAGATTTAGAAATGGCTACTGTATTTATTRCACTTGTATGGCGGGATCCAATAGCAACACATTTAGCTGTCCTGCTAACATTACAATATAACCATACTCTAATGCTATGATCCTAAATATAAATTGTATACAATAATAAAATTTAAAAGATAATCAAATTAATCAATTATAGTCTTACTTTACTGCTGGATATTAAGAAGTTTTTATAAGAAGCTAAACATAATACTGTATCTGTATGACCCTTTAGCYGTTTACAACAAACTCCAAGTTCAACTTTATCAATTTCACAGTKGTCGTCACTTTCAATTTTTTTTTTATGCCATGGAAATATGTAAATATCACAGCTATTAATAGCAACAGCTAAACTACGACTGCATTCATTACCTAAAAGTGCAACATCAAGAATTTCATCATTTGAACCAATCAGCTGAAAAAAAATAATTATTAGTTTTTAATTTATTAATAATTCAACTAATTAACAAACYGTTAATTTGGAACTCCGAGGCCCAAAACTTTGTAATGTGATTGTGTTATCAGCATAACAAATTGCTAGTGTAGACAGAGTTTCATTAAAAATCATATTAGTTATGCTTTTTGTAGATTTTATAGATTGACCATCAGCATTACATTCTTTAAAAATGGGAACATTATTTTTTACATCCCATATATGTAACTCGCCTAAATGTTAAATATTATTAGTAATTGACATGGGATAGTTTATAATATAAAGAAATGTAGTAACCATTTTCTCCTCCGACAGCTACACAAATACCATTAGGAATGACATGAGTATTTTTTAATTCATCATCCAAATCTTGAAGATAAAAACCTTCTTCAGGTAATACTACCATTGTTTCCAAACAGTCATATAGGGCTACCATTTTTAACTGTAATTTTGTTTCTAGGTCCCATAAAATAATAACTTTGTCTCTGCCACAACTTTATAATAAATAATACAATAAAAATAAAACAGAATATTAATATATAAAAATTAATTAATGTATTAAACAATTACCTTATAAGATATTGTTTTTTGTAGAATGCTAATTCTGTTACAGTACTAAAATGTCCTTGTAATTTAAATAAATGCTTCCCATCATCACAACTCCATACATGGATTTCACATTGTAAATCAGCAGCAAACAGCCAATATTTAGAATTTAGAAGTTGCAAATATTTTAGGGCACTTATGTTACCTTGTGCTCCATGCAATGCATATAAACAATGAGCTTTTTCTGATTGCCACAATCTTATAATAGAGTCAGTCCCTCCAGATGCAATGATTTGATCACTAGTAATAGCTAATTTTATAACAGGGCCTTTATGAAGATGACGCCACGATTTGGTTAATTTTTTTTCTAAACATCAAAATATATTAAAAATGTTATTAAAATATAATTACTAATTATCATTTTACCATTAAAATCCCATGTACATAATAAACCACTCTTGTGAGAAGTTATTAGATTTTTACTAGTTGGATCTAAAGTAAATGTAATTACAGAATCAGTGCACTCGTCTTCCTCATCTTCTTCATCACCAGTTTTATCAGATCCAGTACGTTGAGGTAAAGTATCAACTAATGTAGTTGTTTCAATATCCAATATTGAAACTCGAGGACCACRTTGACATAATAAATTATGACCATCTGGGGTCCACTAAAAGGTATAAAAAAATATTTAATTTATGTATTAGTTATAGTAAACATACATAGATATATAAAAAAAAATGATGACATATGATATTCGTATTTATAATTTGTTTTATGAGAAACCAATTTTTTTTTTTTACAAATTAATGTATTTAAGAATAGTTCTCAAGTAACTTGACCATATATTTTTTAGAATATAAATTTTAAAAAGCGGGTAAGTTGTGGATGTTGCTCTGCTGCATAGAAGGTTACAAGTAAGTTACTGTAATGGATGAAATTAAATTTGAATCCAATGATATTATATCATTGTATACGAAAAACGATTCTGA